GAGTCATACTGGGTGGGAATGGTCAGGCCATCCTGGGGAGCTGTCCCACCTTTGGCCGTCTTTTTGCGGCTTTCGGCAGGACGGAAATGGATCGTGGGCATGAGGCAGACAAGCTGCATGGGTTCTGCCTCCACCAAGCAGGAGTTCTTCCGATCCCATCCAGCCCCCTCCAGGTACAGACCTCTAACCCAGACACCATCCTGGGGAGAGATGGGGATAAGGTGGGGAGAGATGGGGATAAGGTGGGGAGGGGTCTTAAGGTGAAGGTACTCTTGACTTGCCACCTCTCACCTCCCTTCTTGCCCTTTGCTCCCAGTCGCCCTCTGTCCCAGGTCCCCAAAGGGCATCCAGCTGCACCTTAGGTGGATACACTAGATTGCTGTCATCCACGGTGGAAACAATAAACTCCCAGGAGAGACTGTCCACAGAAATCTAGGAACCGAAAGTTCAGAAATGAAGGGTGATCCCCCAAAAGACAGTAAATATATATCCCTGATAACCCCTCCCCACACACACACTTTGGATGTGGCTCACATTGTTTTGACGTGCTGAAGACTGGAGAACCGCAGTGAGGAAGCCAGTAGGAAAGGTGAAGCCAGACAGCCAGAAGATTACAGGCGGCCGCGCACGGCTGGCCCACAGCTCAAACTGCTCCATACGCATGGCCAAATCTCGGGTCCACGCAGCCAGTGGTTTTTGTGAGGGATATGCCTGAGGTTGGAGGCAATGTGTATTCATTTACACATTCAGACTCTTACTTTGAGCACCAGTGGCAGATAAGGAATGGAAAAAATTTGGGCCAGCCCCTGTACCCCATTTATAGTAAGCAAAGCTCTCCCAGGAGAGAAGCATAATAGGATAACAACTTATAACAATCTCTCATTGTTGTTGAGTCAGACTGAATCATGTCATTGGGTTTCTGAGGTCCATGGGAGGAAACTGCCTATCTTTTTCCTGAAAGCTACTAGGTGGATTCGAACTGCCAGAGGCACTGCTTTTGAGTCAGCAGTGCAACTCCATGGACTGTGCCACCAGAGATCCTTCACAATAAAAATAGCAACAGTAATATTAACCAGTGACCACTAGTTAAGCACCTCTTAAGGGTTATGCTCAAAGCATCCTTAGAAAAGGGCCTGAGTATGTTTGTAAGTTAGTTAAGTCAGTCAACGAATGGCAGGGTTGGGTTTCAGCCCTAAGCCCGTAGTAAGTAGTCTGAGGCCCAGTCTCAAGAAGGCTGTCCCAGGTCTCACTAGAAGCAGGCCATGTGGGGTGAGGGTGAGAAAACGAATTGTGGGAGTAGGACCACCAGCACAGTGATGCTATCTTGCCTTTCCCCAGAGAGGAGGGACGTGAGCATCAAAGATGCAATTGAATATCTCTTCCAGGCTAGTTGACATGACGATAAGGCCCTGGATGCCTTTCTCCAGGTCTGTCAGGGAGAACCTGAGAAGGACGAAGTGGAGGGTTAGAGCTGGTACGGGCCTAGGAAAATCATGCCAGGCAGTGGGCAGGCCCCTTCCTGTGCCCCCTCCCAGCATTCCCTAGAGCTCCCCTTTCCCTTACAGGATGGTCTCCATCAGCTTGTTGTATCTCTGAATCTCCTGCAGAAGGACCACGTTGAGTGGGGAAGGGTCTAAAGCCAAGACTTTTCGGGTCCCTTCATAGTCAATCATTTCAGGGATCTTCTGCTTCACATCAGTGGCTAACTCAAGGACCTGAGAGGCAAAAGCTCTGGAGCATAGGCCCCATGTCCTCATCCCCCGCCCCCCCCCCCCAGGTGCTGTCTGCTCTTACTTTCTCTTCCCGGCTCTGGCCTCCAGCCCTGGTGGGTGTGATCTGGGGTTGCAGGGAAAGCAGGGTCTCAAAGAGCGTCCGAGCCTCGGTGATCTGGGAGGCCACATCAGCATTGGGGTGCTGGCCAAAGGCCTCAGGGGGGTCCATGCCTGGCAACATGCTGATGTACTCCTTGTAAGAGGCCAGGCTCCCATCCTTTGGGATAGCATAGGTCTCCAGTACCGACAACCTGGGAAGCCACAGCATAATCATCACCATGTTGTGAGCACACTGGGACTTCTATGCCCAGCCAAGACCCCGATCTCCAGGCATATCACATTTGCTTGAGACCCTGTGTTTTCTGCCCATCTCTATCTCACAAACGCAATCTTCCACCAGTCTCATCTTTTCTTCAACTCTGGTAACCTACTTGGCAAGAAGCTGCACAGCAATGCCAAAGGCATTTTGATTAGAATCTTTCAGCTGCTCCTCAGGAAGATGGGCTATATATTGCCTCGTGAGCGATTGATTTACTGACTCTGAAAACCCACTGGAGGATCAACTATGAGTCTGTCCAGCTCGATGGCACATCAACCATCATGGCATCACTAATTCAGTTTTTTAATGTCTCCTCTGGGCCCCTGCTCAATGCCCCCTCGCCCTTACCGATAGAAGGGAGTTGAGAGAGTCTGGTCACAAAAATAGTCATTGATATAGGTTGTAAGCAGGCGCCGGTCCCAGTCATCAGTAACGTGCCCGCCGTAGTTCACACCGGCAATGAGGTACTTGAGTGCATCCCAGGGTGTCTCCTCGTACTCATCCAGATAGAGGCTCAGCAAATTCTCTGACACCTGTGCGCACCCAAGCCCCAGCCCCAGTACAGTTAGGGCAGCACGTCTTCCTAAGGGCTCTCTGCCAGTGGAGTTTTCCTGGAGGGGAATCCTCAGGGGAAAAGGGTGAGGAGGAAGGACTGGAACGAGGGACCCTTGGTTAGCACAAACCTCAAAGTCAGAGTCATTGAAGCCATAGATGATGTTCCAGCCAAGCTGCAAGAATTTCTTGCGTTCAAGTAACACAGAATGGAAGAAGCAGAGTGCAAACAGCAGCTTCTTATATTTGGCAGGTTTGGTGCAGTGGGAGAACTGTTGTTCCGTCATCAACTGATAAAGACGCGTCATGTTGGCCTTTATGCCCTGAGGACAGTCAAATACAGAAGTGAGGTAAGAGGCATTAATTAGCTTAGCCCTGCCACCAGGACCACCACCTACAGGTGTAAAGGTGGCTCACTGCACAAAGTGCTATCTGAAGGGGCAAACTGAAATACAGCCCTTGATGTGCAGGTCAAACTGTGCACTCATTTGCAGGGTTGGACACCTTCTCTACCGAATCCCACACAAGCACTGGGCTAGTGGTGCCGCTGTCTTCTTGCATCCCTCCCACCACTTTTGTTCCTTTGTTAATTATGAATAAACCAATAAACACATTGTGAGTAAGTGAACTCCAACTCACAGCAAGCTCATTTGTACAACAGGATGACCTATGCTCCACAGGGTCCACAATGTCTGATTTTTCAGAGATGGGTAGTTAAGGCCTTTCTTCCAAGGGAGTGGATTCAAACCTTTAGCCTTTCAGACAGCAGATAGATATTTAACTGTCTGCACCCTTCTGGAAATCTCAATTGTGGGTAGACCAAACAAATGGGGAAGTGCCAGAAAATATGAACCAAGACCTATACACACAGAACTCTAATGAGCATAATATATACAATTAAGTACGATGGCTCAGTGTAGGTTAAAAAGCCCCCAGCATCTCATCAAAGGGAGATGTTCTATGTGGTTGGATGCATCAGGGTTCACAAACCAGCTGGGATTTATGGCAAGGCAGAGAGGAGAGCTTTGATTTCCTATAGAAAGAGGGAATGAAAGAAAAGTACATATGGGGGTAAAAAAGTGAGAGGATGAGCTTGGTTGATGTCAAGTACAAGTGCTCAGGTTAGGTAAGAAAGGCTGTGAGGAGGCAGTTTAATAAAGTGCTTTGGATATTGGGGGGGGGGGGAGGCTGTGAGCAGATGGCCATTCAGTAAGAAGTAAGGCCTTTTGGATTTGATCCCATCAGCATCATGGAACTATTCTCTGTCTTGTAGGCAGGGACACATGGAAATAGTATTTTAAGCAGACTCATCTGTGATACAAAGAATGGAATAGTAAGAAATGTAAGAATTCTGTATAGACTAATACAAATTTATAATAGTATTTATAATGTCATGAAAATGTACAAAGTATTTAAGAATAAATGTTAAAAATGTGTAATTCTATACTTTGGCCTTGTTGCCAGAAAGGACCAGTTCTTGGAGAAGGACATCATGCTTGGAATGGTAGCGAGTCAGCGCCAAAGAGGAAGACCCTAGATGAGATTGACAGAGACTGTGGCACTGGGGGCAGGTGTGTCAGAAACAGAGGTTGGCTCAGGATAGGATGGGGTTGCATCCATTGTTCATAGGGTCACTTTGAGTTGTAGTTGACTGGATGGCACATAACAACAATATAGGCATAATTGCAAAATCTTATTAAAATAAACAAAATAATAAGTGGTGAGATCTGTCCATGGATTGGAACATATAAAATCCTAAAGATATAAATTTTCCCCAAATTGAGAAGTAGAAATACTTTTGTTGTGGTTTAACTGAAAATTTATAAAGCAAGTTTGTTTTCTATTCCACACTGTAGCACCTGTTGTTCTGTGCCATTGACCGCCTTCCCCACCATCTAACAGCATGCCTCCTGCTTCCTGTCTCCCCATTCCTGTCTGCCCTTCTCTTGGCCTCCTTCTGCCTCTGAACTTTGTTGGGGAACAGATTCTGTCCTTTTGGTCTCTTATGGCTGATTTTTCTGTGGAGTGTGTTCCTTCCTGGTGTCACTGTTCACTCTGTAGTCCCATCTGCTGTTTGACTAGGGAGTAGCCCCTATGCATAGGTGCAGTTCCACTTTAGAAGGCTGCCTAATGCCTACTGTCCCTGCGGCTCTATCATTAAGTCTGGTCTTTTGTTGTTGTTTTTGAATGATTTTGAGTTTTGCTCTTATTTTTTTCTCCCTGAACAGTAGAATTTCTTTGTGGAAGTTGTCAAGTCTAAAAATGTATGTTTTAGAGTGAAAAGGCTAATTCATTGTTGAAGAACAAGATAAGGGGACTTATCATATAGAAATACCATGAGTGGGTGACTTTAAAAAGCAGAAATGTATTCTCTGAAAGTGTGGGAGGCTGGAAGTCTGAATCCAGTGTGTGAGCTTTAGGGTTAGGCATTCTCTCTGTTGGCTATGGGAAACGATCCTTCTCTCCTTTCAACAACTATGGACCTGGGGATTCCTGGAGATTTCCACGTGTCTTAGCATCAATCTCCTGAGTCTAGGAGGATCCCAGCCCAGAGGCCCTGGGTCTGAAGGATGCACCTTGGTCTCAGCTGTTCTTCATTGTAGTACCAAGGTCCTTCTTTCTCTGCTTGCTTGTTTCCTTTTATCTCTCATAAGAAAAAAGATAGTTCAGGTCAAAATCTCAGGGAAACTCTCCTTACAATGGATCAGGATTGTGATCTAGATCTAATAAGGGTGTGGCACCCCACCCCTTTATAAATGATCAGTTGATCACATCAGGAGGATGAGTGTTAGGTGTCATCAAATCACCTAAGACGCATAATCTGTGAACAACAGATCAAACTCTTGCCCCGTCTTATACCATCTTCACAATGTCTGCTATGCTGAAGTCCATTGTTTTTGTTTTTGTTTTTAATTTATTATTTTTGGTGCATGTACCGTCAAATCAGATCTAACTGGTACAGGAGGAAATTGTCCCTCCTTCTCCGGCAGAGCATCTGGTGGATTCGAACCGTGTACCTTTGGGATTGCAGTACAGCTTCTTGCCACTAGGCCACCAGAGCTCCCCTGAAGTCCATTGTTACAGTCACTGTGTCAACCCATTTTGTTGAGGATCTTCCTGTCTTCAAACTTTCCCAACACGCTGTCTTCTCCCAAGGACTGGCATCTTCTCATACCGTGTATGTGTGGTGCCATGAGATCATTGTTCAAAATGGCTTTCCTTGCCATCAGCTTTGACTGTCAATACATAATTGGGTGTGAACCTGAAATAGGGTATGTATAAACTAATCACTATGGAATTGGTCATTTTTTTCCACTCTATCAACTTTAAGTTGAGTAGGTTTAACAGAAAAGGGGGGCAAATATCACTACACACAAGGAAGAAGAAGAGAATGCAGCACACATCTCTTCAGGGCCTATGCCAGTCAGAGTGGGACCTGCCAGAGAGCAACAGCAGCTTCAGTGGAGAACCAGCGAATGAATGAGACAGAGCTGACTTGAGACTGCTATGCCATGGAGCAGGTGCCAGTGGCCTTGGCAGGACTGAGGGACCTTTTATAGCACTGACTTAAGCCTTGGGGTTGGAGGTCAAAGAACCTGTGACTGTGCTTGAGAAGTTGTCCCAGCTCAGGAATTGTATCCTGTTGCCAACCAGAATTGTAACCTGTTAACTTCCCTGGTAAACCCCATAGCTGTAAGTGTGGTTCTGTAAGACTATGTGGTCACTGGAGCAGATTATGGACTCAGTAGTACAGCAGTATGATTGGTGCTGGATTTGGTAGAAGTAGGTGCATGAGTGTGGAGGCCATGTCTGACCTCAAGGGGACTGACGTGGTACTGACGTGGTATTGTAGATGTTGCTGAGGGGGGACTGTTCCACTTTGTGAAGTTAACAGAGGTCTGATGAAGCCATCCCATGCCACCTACACTCTATTTACAGCATGTGAGATGAAGTTTTGCCATCCTTGGCTCTAAGGAGCATCCTGGTTGCAACTTTTCCAAAACCAGATATGTTTGTTCTCTTGCCAAGCCATGGGCTATTCAATACTCTTCACCAACAGTATAGTTCAAAGGCATCAGTTCTTCTTCTGTCATCTTCATTCATTGTCCAACTTTTACATGCATATGAAGCCACTGAAAATATCATGACTTGGGGCAGGCACACCTTAGTCTTTAAACTGATATGCTTGCTCTTCAGAACTTTGGAGGGTCCTTAAAAGAGATTCTCTGAATGTAAGCAATCTTTTGGTTTCTTGACTACTGCTACCAGGTGTTGACTATGGATCCAAGTAAATTAAATCCTTCATAATGTTAATCTTTTCTCAATCTGTCATGATGTTGCCTGTTGTTCTAATGGTGAGGATTTTTGTTTTCTTTATGGGGAGATGTAATTTATGTTGACTTTCTTCAATAAGTGCTTCAAGTGTTCACTTTCTGCAAGCAAGGTTCTGTCATCTGTATAAGGCAGTTTTGTTGATGAGTCTTCCTCCAAACTTGATGTCATAGTCTTCTTTATATAGTCAAGTTTCTCTAATTATTAACTCAGAATAAAGACTGAATAGTTGTGGAGGAAGAATACAACTCTGACACACACCTTTTCTGATTTTAAACCAGGCAGTGTTCCTGCTTTTCAGACAACTGCTTCTTGATGTATGTATAGGTTTCACATGAGAACAGGTTAGTGTTCTAGTTGACTGCAGCTCATGGTGACTCTATGGAAAACAGACTTGAGCCCCTGCCCTGTCCCGCACCAGCCTCAGGATCTCTGCCAGGCTCAAGCCTGCTGTTACAGTCACTATCACTCCACCTCCATGAGTGTCTATTTCTCTTTGATAGACTCTCTACTTTCCACAGCATGACACCTTCTTCCCTAAAATATGGCCAAAGTATGTGAGGTGAGGTTTCACCATTCTTGTATCATTATGTAACTGCCAAACCTCTGAGAACCACAGCTCAAACATATCCGTGGTGAAAAATATTCAATATATGACATTTACCCTTGGCCCCCTAAAATTCATGTCCTTGCCACATGTAAAACAATTTCACCCCATTGTATCATCTCAGAACTCTTCATCTGTGCATCAGAATACCTGCTTTCTGCTTCCAAAGTACAATGATGGGATAGATAAAAGCTAACTATTTCCATTAAAAGCATGAGAAATTGGTGGGAAACAAGAGATAGTAGGGCTACGCAAGATAATGTCCAGCCAAATAATTGGCATTAGTTCTCAAGGCTTTAAAAGTATCTTCTCTTGTAACAATGAATGAATGGAAATCCAAAGTCTCTGTAAACTTTCATTAAAATTGTTGTTGTTGTTATGTTG